ATAAAACGGATCAGATTGGAATTGGTAAACCCATTCCAAATCATCCCATACGCATCATTAACAATACTAGTATCCGATTAATATTTGATGCATTAATTAGATATCAAGCTAGTGATAAATCACAAATGAATTGCTCAAAATTGGTCTCAATCATAGTTTTAAACAACTGAGACATAAAATCTCAATCCGCAAGGCCCATACTGTAATGATAAAAGAAAAATGCTTGTTATTAGTGTCCAAGCAGACCTGGAAGACAGAGAAGATCAAACAAGCCGTAGAGAATGTCCTTTGGCAGAAACAGGCCAACATTCTTGCTTCCAAATCCTCCCCCCCTCCCCCAACAACAATTGTCAAGCATCAGATGTCCGGTCACTCTGTTGGGAGAATTTACATGCTGGAGATTTTGAGCTGCTTAATCTGTTAATATCCCTAATATACAAATATACACACAGAAAGTGTTCCCTGGATTAAAGATGTTGAACATCTAGAACTTGTCAAACAAACACCTACGTATTGACACTGCAAATTCACCGACCTTGTGAGGATGGAAAAGAATTGCACATACTCCAAAACAAACAGCAACTACAGAAATTAAAAGTATAGTAGGACGGGATCTGAGAACTGTGCCGGAAAACACATGGCCACATGACTTTCTTGGCCACTCCTTGACAACGTCCACATCCATAACAACCTCCCTATTTAAGAGCGGGTCGGTCTCACTTCTCTCTGCTGTAGTTGATACCACCATCATCCCCAACTTATAATCTCCTCTTGTTGCTAAATCCTGTTAATAAAACAATAACATAATTAATTACTTGGCATTGTTATTGTTTTCACAGAGGAGGTCAAAATTTGAAAGTTATCAGCTGAGTATAGCATTTTTTTAAGTTTGGGCCAAAAAAGAAAAAAAACTCTTATCCTAAATGTCATGCTCAGCATAATTTATCACCTGATCTGTAGCTGGAATAGTAGATCGGATATCATCCTGGGAGGAGCTTTGAGAACCATAGTTAGTTTCAGCCATATCATACTCTGGACGCAGAACTGAATCAGCGCTTCTTTTATCTTTTTCGTTAAGAACCTCTCTTGCAGAGTTCATGTATTGCTGTAATAGCCTTGCATCATCATTACTACCGTTATCATCTTTACTGTCTAATTCCATGTTGCCTATCAGAATCTTTATATTTTGAAACACTTTCTCCAATATAGTGACTGATTTGGTATGAATCAGAAAGCTCAATAAACAATTCAATCTTTGAATCTGACAAGAAGCAATAGTCTGTTGACTACTTTCGGAAGCAGGTTCCTTTAGTAACCATGCTATATCTAACAAAAGTTCAGAAAATGCTTTTTGCCTCACAATAAAAGTCTCACATGAGTTTGGCAACAAATTCTTGGCTCCAAATTGTTGTCCCTTTGGAAACAGTGATGTACCAAACTTCTGCTGTATTGACCTAATTTCACAACAGGTCTCTTCATCTCCAATGAGTACAGGTATAAAATTTGACAAACCAGATTCATTTTCTACCTGCATATGATGATTGCGGGTGAGAGAATTCTTGAGTTGCTAAAAGTTCAAAAAAAGAAAAATTAGTACTGCTAAGACTTCCAAAAACTCATAATTTCCTGTAAAATTTGTCAGGAACTCCTAAAAAGAGTGAATTCAAAGCCACAAAAGAAATAGACTACCAATACCGGTGACAAAAGACCAAAAGAGTTATTCATAATCAAAGGTCTTTTACTCACAAAAAATTGTGAAAAACAAACAATGCACATGAAATGAAATAAAATAGAAAATATAAAAACAGAGAACATGTCAGAAGCATATACCTCAATAAATGCAGGACCAAAAAGATTCGGCTCAGTCTGATGGATTCGTATTTTGTATAGCTGATGATCGAAACTAGAAGAATTGCTTTCAGCCTCACCATGTAGAGATGCAACAGAATAACTATGCACCATATACTTTCCAGCAAAAGATACAAGGAACCTGCCATCATAACCATGTTCTTAAGCAATAATTATTTCCATGTTCCATCTGAGGAGATTCAATATCATCATTGCATAGCAAAATGACCAAATAATACACTAAAAAAATAATTCCTTTTTTTCTTTCAGGATGGGGAGAGAGAAACATCAAGGAGGCTCACATATCCCAAGTTTCTTTTAAGTTTGAACTAAATTAGTTCCAAAGGTAATTGTATAAAGGCATCGATTGATAATCCTAGGAAAAGAAACAAACAGGCTATTTATCATTTTGCATGAATATCCAGTAGCAAGACTTCCTAATATGCTTCACCCGATACATGTGCCAACCTTGCTGCCAGTGCATAGCATGAACTTGTGAGAACTAACACTACAACATCATTGGAAATGAATTAATTGACCAAGTTTAGACAATCACGACCCTCCAACTCTTTGTCGTGTCATTGCGAAGTCAATGTCTCTTCCTTTTTCGATGTTCAACCTCATCAAAAATTTCAAAAAGTAAAACCTGGCATTTGAGAATGCAAAACAGAGAGGAAAACAGTTTTCACAATAACAGAAGCATCTTTGCATTCTTTTTCCTTTCACTTCCTAAGCATGGCATATGAAGCACAAAAATATGCTTCATCCTGGCATCACTTGATCCTATGGAGATTTGATAAATCCCCATAACAGCAGATTGTTCTAGAATTGAAATCTTATTTTTAAGAAGTAAAATTTTGACAACTCAGAAGCTCAGATTGAAAAAAATATTCAATACCTATGCTTCAGTGCAATTAACGTAGTCAAGGATGTTGACAGAAAAGAGTGGCAATCATGGATGTATAATTGACAGCGTAATTGCAAAATGATTTTCAGCTCCAATGCATCTACTAATTAGGCAAAGAATCATTTTGAACCACTATAAAAAAAAAAGTAGAAGTATATTTCAAAATTACATTCCTGCATAGATGTGCATTTCCAAAAATTTCTTGCATACGGGTTTGAGAAAGGTGAAATGCTATACCGTAATTTTGGTTGCAGCAAATTACTTCCACAGGCAACGAACTCTATCGGCTTCCCAGCCTCAAAACACATAGGATAAACATAGTGAAGCTTAGGAGCTTGCATCTTCACATTGACTTTCATTACAGAAGTTCCACCTATAGACATTGAAGGGCTTTGGCAAGTTAGAAATTCGGAATAAGCAGAACATCAAACCAAATACCATGAAGTAATAATTGTAGTCACTAACTTATGAAGTAAGAACTGGTTCAAAAGTCAAAATGAAAATTTAAAGAAGCCATGTAATTAGCATCATTTAAAGTCTAACAAAACCAGTTAGCCAAAGAGAATCAGAAACTAAGGTTCCTTTTATCTATGTCCCTTTGGATACGTCCAATAAAATTGGAAAGATCTTTTTAATCTATGTTTACTCAAAAAAACAAGAACTTCTCATTGAAAGAATTCATAAATATAGTTGGGTTAACAGAAAAATAACCATGCTAACATTCTCTCATGCCAAAAAGAACATTCCTAAGTTCATGTTATAAGTTCCTGTGAAAGAACTGAATTTCAAACAGTAAAGCGGAAAGCGGAATTATTGATGGGAGCAAATTTGTAAAACAATTATAATCAAATGAAGAGATTTATTAATGATTACAACAAATTAGCAGCTAACAACGCTAACTAAACCTGAAAAATAGATGAGTAAAGTGAGCAGAAAGTTCGGGGAAAAAAAAATCAAAATTTCAGCTCAATAGTCAATAATTTAGGCAGGCAGAAACAACTAACATCCTTAATACGCTATAAATGAGTTGATGGCTGTGACTTGTATCATTTCACATTGAACTCTTCTACTTGTAATTTTGTCACTGCCGTTTCTTCCTTTCAGTATAGGTATTGTTGATTTTAATACCCATTGCAAACAATTCTTTGTTACATAAAAAAATTGGGAATCAATAGAAAGCCTTATGCATAGACAGCACATGAGAATGGCTGCTATGGTCCCAGATCTATAGTAAATTTATGGGTTGACTAAGGCTGAAATCTCAAAGCAACCAGGCTGCTTGTTTCTCAGATTTCCTCCCCCAGGGACCTATGTTAAATTTGGGTATAAGACTCGTTGGAGAAAACCTTTTGATCTCTTACTCTAGAACCTTTTGGCTGAAATTATTCCAATCAGCGTATTGCTAAAATCTAGATATGAATAAATAGGAAAGATTTGCTGACCTCTTCTCATAACCTAGGATCCGATAACCATGACTTAAGTTCATGGTTTTTCAATATTAACCACAATAGCTTTTTAATTGGCTTAGGATTCTAAGGCATTCATTTAAATAACCGAAAAATTAAAGAAAAAACTCTTAAGTAAAAGACATCTAACCTATTCCAAAGACAGCAAAGAATTCAATGCAAACTCTCTTTGCCCTTAATTGTTGTTTTTCTGCATGCCATCCATGTATTCCTCTCCATGCTTGTAAACATTAATGTTTTTTCTCATATAATCAACTACAATAATTGCATACTCTTTGCATCAAGCATAAATCTAACAAGAACGTGCACCAAAATGACCCAGCGCCAATTGATTAGACAAGAACCATTGAACTCTTACAGAAATAAATTAAAAATGAAAACAACAAAAAGTATCCATTTTTAAAAAATAAATAAATAACAAAAAAAAAGTATCCATAGATGGCAAAAACACAAAATAATACATGAAAAAAAATGTTAAAACATGGATGTCATCAACTTACCTTCAATAACACGAAAAATCATATGGTTTAAATAAACAGTCACGGAGCCTCTTCCAGATAGCATTTTTCCGGGTTTAACAATAAAGTCATGTACATATGCCACAGGATCTTCAAATAACTGCTCAATGTCACCAAAAACTATGTATTGATATTGATTATGCAACATTAATTTAAACATTGATTAAAGAAACAAAAATGTAAAAACAAGAATAATAAATTGGGAGATGGGAGAATTAAAACACTGAAAAGATATGTCCTTTATTGCGTGAATAAAATATAAGCAGATAAAAATCTTACTGTATTATTTGTATGGCAATAAAATGTATCCTGTAGAACTGCAATAAGTAATAGAGTTTTCAAGATTGAACATGTTCATCATTTGCTAAATCAGTTTTAAGTTTGCATGAAGACATAATATTTTTCAAAAATCCAAGCAAGTCCAAGATTGTGAAAGAATATACCTAAATCTACTAGTATTATATGCCATGCAAAAGGCTAAGGAAAAGACAGCAAATTAATTCACTTTCTTTGCTTGATAGCGAACAAATAGTAGGAAAAAATTGTAGAAAAGAGCTGTTTCCTTTCAATATTTTTTTGAGATAGAGGAAGAGAGACTAACTGCTAGAGTGATTCTATAA